CGTCGATTAAATGAAAATTCACAATACTTCAAAACTTTTAAGTCTATAATATCAAAATACAAAATAATAATTTATAATATGTAGGTGCCTAAAAACTATGTTATATTATGTATTATTATTGTATATCGTTTCACGGGAAAAATTTATCAACTCGTTATCGAAAACCTTCGGACATTACAGTGTTACCGCCTAATCGACGGAGAATGATGAATATTATGGGGACGGGTACAGATTTCCCGATTTTGATAAGCGAAAAATTTGTTATGATATCTCGATATACCACAACTCGTACCAGAATATACCAGAGATCCAGCAGTGACACCACCAATAAGAAATAATTTACAGTGATGCCTTGTTAGCGGCACTCGTCGCTACGCTCCTCGGCGCCGTCGCTCCGCTCCGCAAATCAAAAATATCCCTCGACTTGCTATGCAACACCACCTCAAGTTGGTCACTGTGTAACCGATGTTATACCAAAGAACAACCACTCTTATCATTTCGGCCAAAAGCTTATCACTACCGCTATCAAAATCGGGAAATCTGTCCCGGCCCCGAATATTATGTATTTATATTGTACTCAAATCACGATTTTTAATCTTTAATCGCAATGTAAATCACAAACATAGGCGCAGAACTTTTTTTCAGGGTATGCAAAAAGTCTGTGTACCAAAGCATAGATAAAATTTATTGAGATAATATTAGTATACTTAATCTATGACCAAAGTAACATAGTTTTTAGGTTTAAACCTCCCCCCAGTAAGCCATGAGAGGCTTCGTCTAATATACAATAATATTACAGACTCACTAGTTCAAAATTCACCAAATTTAACCATTTTAACTCACTAGACCTACCCAGACCTTATATTATATTTTTTAATATAATCATACAAGTCAAATTATTAAAATTTCTGCTCAGTGTTGAGATTCAAAATCATAAGGAAACACTACCTATCAATAAAAAACAATTAAAATTTGTAAAATAAAACACGTTACTATATAATATTATGTAGCCACACAATAAATTATATTAAAATCATCGATTTAATATTTTACAGCGTCATTCGCCTTGTAAAATGTACCTCATTTTTGAAATAATCAATAACACTATTAGCTTCAACATTTATTGCAAATTCTTGTTGTATCCTTATCACTTATCAGCATAAGACTTGTTGAATCGTTCTTGAGCCAAAATGGTCCTTAATTTTGATTTTAATTGAGTTAACTTGGAAAAAGTTCCCTCACATGTACAACTGGTTACTGGGATAACTGAAAACAATTTAAGAACAATACTTAAGTTGTTAAAGATATATGCTCTATCAAACATGTTTAACCCCTATAACCAAACACTAAGAATTTTAGTGCTTGATTCAATTTTTTTTTTAGGCGCTAAAAAACATATTTGGAGAAAATGTTTGAATTATAATTTTACAAACTAGAGGTTTACCTGGTATGGTAAATCTGAAGTATCTATTAATTGAATAGATGTTATAATTAATAATTATTGTAACTCTAAATAGCAATTTTCCCATTTATTTATAACAACATTTTTATATTCTAGTTCATAATAAGAATATTATTAATCAAAAATAAATATATATAAACCGTGCATACTAAGTAATACTAATGAACAGTCAAAATAATTAAAATAATATTTGATATGGTTATAATTTAAACCATAAACTATCTTAGTTATTGTCATAACTTATAATATCACGAATCCCAGACGAAAAGTCAGGGAACAAAAAGTCCATTTTGAAAAAGGTTGAACGAAAAGTCCGGATTCATTTTTTATTGTTGGACAAAAAGTCCGAGAATGTAAATTATAGTTCCATACACAAATTAAAAAAAATAAAAACATCAATGTCAGAATGTCTACAGTAAGTTGATAGGAAAATTCTGACATTTTATCAGGATTCGATAAAAAAAGTCAGCTACGTCATCAATGATGTTAGTTATATTGTAATTGTAATTAATTGATTAATTAAATTATATCTGTGAATTCATAATTTTCAAGTAAAAATTTTATAGTACCAAACAATGTTGTGTAAATTTTTTTTTTATAAATAATTATATTTTTAGTTCATAGCTGTGTTTCCGGTATACGGAAAAAAGCCCCAATATCAAAATACGGTAAAAAGAGCCCCATCATAGGAAAAAAAAGCCCTGTACCAACTACATCCATAACACTTTTTTTTTATTAAAGTATTCATTTCATCATTTTTAATTTTTAAACAATATATTATTATTTATAAATAGCCATATTTTATCTATAACCATATATTTAATTTGTATATACTTTTATATGATAATAATATTTAATAAAATAACAAGCCCAATATTTTAAACTATTTAGCCATTTAGGTATAAACATTAAACATACATTTGAAATAGAAGTGATTAGTATATATAGTAATAAAAGTAATTGACATTTGACTTTATCTTAGAAATGATGAAGGTATTATATTTTATTGTAGACTATCTTAGTTTCTACAACATTTTATTATTAAAAATGTGGTTTTTTCGTTCATGTAGTTATAATAATAATGATATAAGTGTATTAGATTTTCTAATGGCTGTTAGCCAAAACATTAGAAATCAATGCTACTAAATCATTTTTAAATTTTTTTAACTTAAAACATTTTTTAATTACGTACAAATGACAAAAGACAATTATTGCAGATTGCAACTACACATGTATATTTTATAATAAGAGTAATGCATGTTAAGGAATGTTATTTATGGAATAATTTTTAACTGTGATATAATTAGTTATTGTTTAATGTCATATACTAAATATAATTTTTTTAAATAACTATCTTTTTAAAAAGAAAATGGTGCAGAGACCTCTTGTACTGAAAAAAAAATCCCATATTAACCGCCAGTAAATAAATTATCACGTACTGGGTGTTACCACTGGGTAATTCCCCAAAATCATATTATTCATTGTTATTTTTCTTTTTGTATTCTTTTATCTCATCTAATTAATGTGCATATTTGTTGTATAGATTGTAGATTGTCTTTTTACTTAATAAAAAAAAAAAATAACTACCTTTATGTAACTACCTTTTAATCAAATAAATGTACCAATAATAATAATTAGTACCATAATAATTTAGATGCATAATAATATAATAAAATAATTTAATAATTAATAAAATAAATGTAATCATTATATTATGATTATTATGAATAAATCATTTATATGTCATGCAAATCAAAAAAAAAAGAATCATGTATTTTGTGCGGGGCTTTTTTTCCTATAGACCTGGCTTTTTTTACCTCCCGTATTATGATATTGGGGCTTTTTTCCTAGATTCGTGTTTCCACGTCGGTAGTGGTAAAATGTAATACGGGGTGGTTTTCGATGAAAAGAATCGATGTTTGGTAAGTTCATTTCATATACTTTTGTAGGTTTGATTTACTATCTAAATGTACTTTTAGACTATAAATAAATATCTATTGCCGTGGACAGTGAACTACTTAAGGATGTAGACGTATATTTTATTTCTGAACGCTGAATGTATAAAATACGTGAGCTCGAACGAAAAAATTTGGTCGATGTCTCGCCGCCTCTCGTTTGTTGAATAATAATGAATACCAGTATTATAAAAAGTGTTACACATGGCGTTTTTATGTCCTAAACAAATCAACAATTATTATTTTTCATTTGATAAGAATGAACACTGATATTTTATATATTTTAATTTTTTTTTTATATTCATATTTAAATTTATCATACCATATAAGCTTTATAAATACAATTGTATAATGGTATAAAAAGTAAAATATCTACACTGAAGACGGATTTGTGGCAATAAAAGTATGCAATTTGTTTAAATATTTTTATGGTTGCATGATGTGTAGAAACTTATTGTTAAAATAAACATATTATACATTATGAAGAAGCTTAAAATGAAATTTTCGAGTTTTTTGATAGAAAACATATTTTACTATATTACAATATCAATCGGAAATAAACAATACAAATTAATACATTAAAAACACATGTATTTTTATCTTTATATACATTATATAATGTATATATATATAATGATATTTTGTATAATGTCTGACATTATCGATATTCGAGAGTTCAGGTTTAGTCATTTAGATTTAATATGCTGGGCCAGGGGTTAATCTGCGATTTAGAGTTAGCTCAAAATATTTTACTGTTTGTGAGTTTAGAATAGAGATACCAATGATACCATGGATGGAGATTGGAGACAGCTGGGCAAGGAACGTAAAAAAAATTCAAGCCAGGTAATATTTGAGGGTCAAATGAAAGCAATTCGAATGTGGCTTTATGCCAGTATTATACGTCATATTCTAACATAATTACTGAACAATAAATACAATAAATGATGTTCCTACCTATATGCGACTAGTGAAATATTTTTTTACTTATAAGTTATGACAATAATAGATTTGCGTTAAACTTTATGAATATAGCTGATTTGTAGTTATTTTACTCGGTCTTTACGTAAGGACTAATAGGTAATAATTCATGCTAGAAAAAACTTAAATACAACAACAATTTGTTTTTGTTTAGAATTTGTTTAACATATTCTATTATTCTGTAAGTACTAAGTAGTGATATTCACTTTCAGTCCATTAACGACTTACTGAATACATGTACAGGCAGTTCTTGAAGCTCTGGATACATATTTTTATCATTTATAACTTTTATACAGCTGAATTCGTTTATTACGATACCCAATTTTCTTTTAGTTGAATTAGTGGAATGTTGGATTTTATCCTATCAGGTAAATAAATCATAATGATATTTTCGTAACTTCTGTTTTATTAGTTTTACATGGCACACTAGTTTTTAAATATACCTAAGTCTTTTATTTTTAAGCCCGGCATTCACGAAGTCTATGGACTTAACGATCTGATTCTCTGGGTCCCTTGAAGATCGTTATAAGTGAATTCGTCTACATATTTCAACTGCGAATAATTAATTTTCATATGAATGTAATTTTCTTATTACCGATATCGATATGAAGTGCTTTTGCTTACTTATTATGCTCTTGCTATTACAAGTTGTGTATTATAAACGGATAATTGCCCGAGACGCTATAATAAATCTGAAACCATCATTTTTTCAACCATTGGATGAACTTCCGCCATCATGTTACAGGTACAGTATACAAAGTAATTCAATGAAGTGCCAATGACACAATATTTTTGAAAATATAATTTTTACACAATTCAATGCCTGAAAAACAAAATGTTGATATTTTTTATTGTTATTATTTTTAATTTTCTTTTATTATTTAAGATAATTATTGAGATAACTTGAGTTGAAAGATAAATTAGAGGGTTAATTTTAGTGACTTAAATTACTTTGAAAAGTTACACACTTGTCTATTATATAATCTATCATGTGCACTGTGCAGGGAGGGTTTGGTGGGATGATTAGTTTTATTGGAGGTGACTTGTTGAATGATTAAGTTAAAAAGTATAGTTGATAGAATGATATGCATAACATTATAGGTACCAACATTCAAGATTGTACAATGCAAATGCAATGTAGTGTTTTTCAATTCTAATACATTATTATATGTATTATTGAAATAATAAATTGTATTTACTATTTACGAGCTGAAGCCGGTAGTTTATTACAGTGATATACAATTAGTTTAAAATGTATTTATAATTATTTTTTCTTGTTTATTAACTATGTAATTATGTAGGTATATTAAATAATTTAAATAATGAGATATTATAATAAGATAATGGTTTACAAACTTTTGTCCACGAAAGTACTAGATCCAATACAAAAATATTAAAAATAAGTAGAAGAGCTATTGTATTATTGTTTAATTATGTTTTCATTATTATAGACTTATTATATACGTCTTAAAAAAATATAGACTTCTTAAGTTATAGAACAAGTTCAAATAGTATAAAAATCGTAGGTATAAGTGCGTATAACAATAACAAAAATAATATTATGTCTCCAAGGTCTTTGAAGTTTGGACATATACCACCTCAAATAAGCACGACTCTCTATTGAATATGACTATGAGATATGAATATATAATTCTGCATTCATGAATGTAGACAGTTCTTTTAAATACAAATTTCCACTGATGGATTGGCCTATATAGCCATATAGGTACATGAACATGACCATTCCAATAATGAAAAATGTAGGTATGATGAATGATGAATGATGATAAAGTACATTACGTACTAATATTACAAATATTGAAATATATTATTGTCATCCATTAATTTATAACTTATAAATTATTTTATATTACAGTATGTTATTACTTATTTAGTTATAGTTTATTAAATATGAATGTCATTAGATGTTGGTAGATATGAATATAATACAGACATGAGACAATACACTAGGTATGGATGAGATTAAATAGATTCTTTTAATTGTCATATTATAATGTAATATCTATTGTTACATTAAATTAAATAAAATACATTTTTGGTAATGCATTTATGATGTGGGTACCTCGATAGTCGATACTTCAATAAGTTAATAGGGTACCTACTGCACGGTAATTTGAGTTATAACTTATAAGTACCTACCTATAGGTTATATTGGTTATAAATGTTATAATATATTATAATTGTATAAAATCTTTACATTTTCCAGTAAAATTTACTGCAATAGTGAATTATTGAACGATGTACAAATGTATTGCAATCATCCAAACTGTACAAATTTTTTATCTAAAAAACTTAAATATACTGAATCTGAGATTCTGGTAAAGTATGATAAAATGAAACAAAATAATAATATTGTACCGTCTGACGAAGATTTAGTCAAGTTTATTGCTGAGAATTTCGAAGAAAGTAACGAGTTAGAGACATGGACACCTACGGATTTCACCGATAAACCATTGATTCTTGATAGAATTAAAGATAAAACTTACAAATATTGGGCTAGAAGGTTGAATGATTTATGGATGACCCTAGCGAGGAAGATAAAGGATGACGTAAAAATACATCCAGATAAGTACTCACAGGTGTGGGTACCAAATGGGTTCATTATACCAGGAGGTATATTTAAGGAACTTTACTATTGGGACACTTATTGGATTGTTAATGGATTACTACGATGTGATATGAGAACAACAGCTCGTGGTATCATCAAAAATATAATATCATTGGTGGATCAGTTCGGTTTTATGCCCAACGGTAACCGAGTTTTCTATCTAAATAGATCACAACCACCGATGCTTATATTGATGGCGTTAAGTTACTATAAAGCAACTAATGACTTTGACTTCATAAAAACTGTTATAGGTGTAAGTTCAGTAAAAATAGTAACGTGAATAAACTTATAGTATCAACTATTATTATTTATTTTAGAGTTTGGAAAATGAATATCTATTTTGGTTAAACAATCGAATGGTTATCTTCGAGAAAGATGGTAAACAATATAAAATGGCTAGGTACAGCTCACGGTCAAGTGGACCAAGACCAGAATCATACAGGTTTGTAGGATATATTATGAAACTTTATAAACAATAAATTGTATTAAGTTAGTTAGTTGCAACTTTGAAAGTAATAACAATAATGTGTATGCAAACGTCTAGGAACGATTATAAATTGGCAGAAAAACATTACAGAGAAGAAGATAAAAATGAATTATACATGCATATAAAGTCTGCAGCAGAATCTGGTTGGGATTTTTCAAGTAGATGGTTCATAACAGCCAATGGCACTAATAACGGTTAACTTTAATTGTGAAATTATAAAATTAATCATAATTATTTATGGGCTTAGTTTTTAAATACAGGTAATTTATCTGATATACAAACTGCAAACATTGTCCCAGTTGACTTAAACAGCTTGCTTCATGTAAATGCACTTACATTGAGTACTTGGTTTGATCAAATAGGCGATAAAATAAATGCTGAAAAATACAAAACAATTGCTAATGAGTTCCTCGAAAATATACAAGAAGTAAGGATATCTTATAGCTATCAAATCTATGTTACAAATAGTATACGAATAGAACACAGGTAGAACTGGGACCTTTTGATTTTATCGGTACTTGTTCCAGTTCCAGTTCTTGAGAAAAACATTTAATAGTTCTATTCTGTTCTGTCCCTGTACTTGAAAAAAATTGATGATTCCGGCTTTAGAAAATAACAGTTCAGGTTCGATGAAAAATGTTAAATTACATACAGATACGATAGGTACTAGGTAGGTACGTATAATATAATTACAAAGTAGGTATGCATTTTACATACCTAGTAAATAATGTCTAATTTTTCCAATTTCTCTTTGATTGAGAATGAAGCATTTATAAAATATGTTATCAGAAGAATATAAGCACCTATTATGAAAAGTTCAAATTTTGACGAAATTACATATATATTAATTACACAATATAATATACATTATATTTACTTACCTAGTAATATTATAGGCTGACAAACCGTCTTCGCTCAGAATCATTTTTCCCATATAATGATTTTGTGTAACTTAATTAAAATTTAACACATCCATTGCAGTGACTCTCCAGATACCTAATGTACAACAAAGCGTTATCCACTTACGCTCTTTTTTATTTTTTACTATCTTCCTATGTTTCTATAATTATATATAAACATAAATACCTAATACCTATATAATGGCTATACAATTTTGATATTATAATAAATGTAAGAATGTGATATTCTTTGTTGCTAAATGTGGTTCTAGGTTATGTGGAAACCAAACAAAGGAGCTTGGTTTGATTGGGATTTGATCAACAATAAGAGTCGAGAATATTTTTATGCATCCAATATTATACCTCTATGGACGGAAAGCTATAATATGCCAAAAGAAAAAGTGGCCAATTCAGTTCTGAAATATTTAAGTGATCAACATATAATCGAGCTCGACTACAGTATTAAGTACAGTGGTAAGTATAGGCACCTACCATTTTAATTGAACAATATAATTATTTCAAAAATGAACAATAATACAAATAATACTGATGTAGGTATACGCGTTATGTAGATACCTAAATAACATATAAAAATAAAATGTTAAGTGTAGGTACAGCAACATTTAAGTTATAACTTATAGGTACATTATTTTATTTTATTTAATATGAAAACTGGTTATGAAACCCAAAACAAGTGAGTACAAGTAATTTTGGACAATATCTTATGTAACAGATTCAAGTGTAGAATTTAATTAGACAGCTCTCAGTGGTTTAAGTTGGGTTCTTCTTTGGCCAGGCGCATTAAACTGTAAAGGGGAGAATTAGATAAACAATTAGTATTGAAGAGAGGCAGGGGCCAGCACCCATTGTGATTTTTTTTATGAACCAAAAAAGAGGCATGTAAAAGGGAGCATAATTTTTTATTCGCCAAGATGCCACTCTAAAGTTGATATTGGCTTTTAGAGTAGGATAGTCTACATGATCACTGGTCATTGACCAGAGATGAATTTTATTAGGAATGATAGATTGGCTGCATGCCGGCCATCTGAAAGGCTGCCTTAGATTAAGCAACTGATTGATGTGTATAGTCGGTAGAGGGTGGGTCAATTTATGTTTAAGTGAAAAGCTAAAAAACGCAAGAACTTCCTTTGCACCCGTTCGATCGGGTGATACATAATACATATTATACATTGAATATTTTATTTTACATATGATTTTACAACATATTTCTCAATATAATTCATGGAAGCTTATTTTATTATTTTTCACGATATAGGGATACCTACGTCGATGTACTCATCATCACAACAATGGGATTTTCCGAATGCGTGGCCTCCGCTCCAAGCTTTTATCATACAAGGTCTAGATAAGACTCAACAACAAAATGCAAAACAAGTTGCAGTGAGATTGGCCGAGGTGTGGTTGCGCACAAATTATCATGGATTTACAAATAACGAATCGATGTTCGAAAAAGTATGAAACCATTCAACCATTACCATTTAACTATTCAAAACATATTTTAAAATGTTGTTATAGCTTAAAAATTATTTTACAGTATGACGCTTTAGCTTTAGGAATAAGTGGTGGTGGCGGCGAGTATGCACCACAGTTAGGATTCGGTTGGACAAATGGTGTCGTGTTGGAATTTTTAAACCAATGGGACTATTTATACTACAACACCTCAAATGATAATACAACGGACTAACACAAATATTATATAATATTATATTGTACACAATAACACAATTTATGTTAATATATACTTTTGTTTTATTAGTTTTATTTATTTTAAGATTTAGCCTCATAAAAATAGTACTTACCTACCTGTAAGAAATAAAAATAAATATATTTTTATATGACAATTAGAGAGGTGTTCACTTTAATTAAATTATCTAAATAAAACTTAACATCACATTTTAATTTGTAAATAAACGATACTGGTGATGTATTAATTATACTTCTTGCATGACAACTAATTGTCCCATAATATAACTTACATTGTCAGTTTTAATAACAATTAACGACCATGTAATTATCATTTTTCATTCTGGTGGATGCTTCAATGTTTGATTGAATGATTGAATTAAATTGTTTCTTTCACCCAAATATGTTTCCAATGATTCAACAATATTGCACTTTCCTGTATACTTTCAATATGATTAAAATGGCTACCCGTATTTACTTGTTTTTCTTCATCGCCCATGAAACATTTGTAAAGACTTTTGGCACTCAGCGGTTCCAGGGCATGGGCAAGAATGCAAGATGGGCAGCCACCTGGCACCTGTACCAAATTGTTTGATGTTTACTTGTTAAAAAGTTCAGTATCGTGTCGTTTTGATAGTTAAAGTAAAGAATTATTAGTCGATTTAGTCAGAAGAATGAAAATAGTAGGTACATTAAGTTTTACATCTTGTTAAAAAATTTTTTTAAACTGATTATTCATAATGTTGTTACTAATTACGCAAATTAAATAACACTTAAATTATAAAAGAATAATTTGATAATATGTATAATATGTAATTTATAAGTAGGGCCAACAATTATATGCCCTAAAAATCTATAAAATATGTATGCAGTTATGCCCTAAAAATTACCAAAATATGCCCTTAAAATATGCTCTAAAAAAAATGTTATTGTAAAAAAATGATTAAATGATTAATTTTTTTTATGTATTATACAATTTATACTATAATAATACAATATTATTATTTATTGCCAATGAATAATGATTCACAAAAATGTGTGATATTAAAAAATATTTAAAATTAAAAAATTAAAATTAACGAAAATAGGTATTTTGTAATTTATTTAATGGTATATTGGCTGCTAACAACGTTTTGCACAAATCTTTATTGAAAGAATTAATTTTTGATGTAGTAGATAAAAGTTGTTGAGTCTTTTGTTGTTGGTCGCCGAGTCGTTGAATACCACGTGAGTGCTTAGACGTTTTAAGATGTTGTAAAACTGTAAATCGTTTTTCACATGTAACCTTTGCCTCACATATTTTACAAAACAATATATTCCCATCCGAAGAAAATATATTTTCTCCAAATTCAGAGATGTAACTATTGATACGACTAGTGTTGGAAGTTCTCACTTTCGGCATTTTAAAACGGTCGATTTAATAACGCACCACACGAGTATAAAGACCGACTGACGACTGTAATAGGTGCGATAAAATATAATATGATATTTATCTCTATGCGATACTGTTACCGATATACGGACATATAATTGTTGACCCTAATAATTAGCGATTAAGATTAGATTACCACTTTTCATAAATGAGCTGAAATACCAATAATAAGGTATATGAGTGAAACAAATTAATATTTTGTAATTCCCGAGTTTTTAAGATCTTAAATATGCTCCAAAAATATACTAAATGCTAAAATATGCCCTAAAAATGCAAAAATACCATAATATGCAAAAATATGCGAAATAAAATTTTGTATACAGCATCGTTAGGTTATAAAACACATTTTGGTATAAACTAGCTATTTTTTTGACCAACCAATAAAAATATGCAAATGCATACAAGTGTTGGCCCTATTTATAAGATATTGTAAAATTATGTAATATATTCAACATAAAGCCCATTTTATTTTGTTTATAAAATAATAAAGAAAATCTATATTTTTTGGTGTTCATATTTGAATTGCAACGCAAAATAAATGTTGGGGTTACGGAGTTAAGGTTGGCCATAGATTACTTATAAATATGATATGTATATTTATATTTTATGCTCGCTCGAAATTTGAGTTCTAGAATCTCACCTGTTGGCACTTCATTTGGTATTAAATAGGTAATGAATATTGATAATACAGAGCAGATTTGATGAATGACCTTGTATTTTAGATGTCACTTGAAAATTACTTCAATCGTTATAGCGCCAAAAGATGTAATTTAGAAGCATAAATTGAATTTCTAAGTTTTCCTTGAAAAATTGCCTGATACTAATGATTGATTCTAGACTCTATATAAATTAATAATTTAGAGATAGAGAAATAAATAATACAATTTGATGACTGGTATTTTATGGTTGTCGGCCGTCGCTACTTAATGTAATCATTTTGATACTGTACAAAACGGAAACATAAACCTACTATTAAGTGATAGCATTAAACGAAAGTTAAAACGTATACCATTGTTTTTATAATATACCAATTATTTTAAAATCAATGCACATATATGTAAGTAATATACTAATATGGGCTATACCCACAGACTGCAGTTTTCTGTAACAATACAATTGAAAACATTTTGTGTTTTATAAATTAAGTTATGAATATTATGATGTTAAACATTATAATAAACTGTGACCACTGGTATTTAAAACCTATTATGCATAATAAATGTATAAATGATAATAATATAAGCCATGTGTTTTATGATTATTGAATTGTTTTATCTCTTAAGGCATATTTTATTTTATAACACATTACAAATTAAAATGTATTTATTTAAAATCAAAAAATTACAATATAGGTATTTTGAATTTATAAAGATACAATTTACATGTTAACTAAAACGTTTACATTTTTATCCTCCTTTGTTTGGCGAATGACCACTTTATAAGAATAGTATTTACGTCGACGCAATCAACAATATCTTTTTTACAACTTAATAGCATCAATGAATATTAAGAGGATGTCGGAGAATTTTTTACTCCCAGCATACCAAATTTTACGTTCACAATAATGGTTATGATTTATAATCATAATAATTTCTAAAATTAGAGTGAATGACCTCTTATACAATTCAAAGGTGAGATTATTATCCAAGCCTCTAGGGCATCTCAAAGGAATTTTATTATACTTTAATATTAAAGTGAGTTATGAGTATTTTAAGATGTATAAATGAATTTACAATGTTACGATAATTTTTTTAAATTATTATGATTATAAATCATAATTGCGAACTTACAATTTTCTATGTTGCACGTGGGTCAGAGAAAGAAAAAAATGCGTCGACAACTCATTAAGTCCGTTCGACTTCGAAGTCATTGTATATCGTAAATTATGTTTGATAAGTTTCAATGTTGGTAATATAAGTTCGTTCACTGGTTGGCGGCAGCTGTTGTAATAGGTATGAAAGACGACAAAACCACTTTTTATGATAAAATTCGTGGAGAGCCGGTGAATAAATTGAGCCGAATGACAAATACCATAATAATATGTTACATAATTATACAGACATGTACCTATTGTACCTAGTAGTAATAGACATGATAACTCACACGTAGGTTTTACTACAGGCTTCTATATAATAATATTATACCGGGTATATAATATACGGTGTATCTAATGTAATTAATTACTTCACATTTTTTTCATCACAGTAGATACCTAACTTTTTCTAACAATAGCCAAAATATGCATTATTTAATATATGGTTAAGTCGGTGGATGTAATAATGGTATATTCGTATTAGGTTATTATTAAGTTTAATAATATTGGCATTTTAGTAAAATAAGGGATGATGCAGATATGATAAAACAAAAACATATTAGATTTAAGGACAAATTGTCATTTTCCATTTCTGCAAAAGTGAAATCTCATCGATACCGTCATAATTGGTCTCACTCTAATTTCCGTGTCTTGAGCAGTTGAGCCAAGGACTTACTAATTAATATTATTTTTTAAATCACGTTAAGTTATCACGAAGTAGGTACACCATATATTTGCATAAATATTCAATATCAATATAGGTTGGTTCCTATAAATACTGAATTCCCATATAAGTAAAAAAAGTCTCTCTTTTTGGAAAAACATAAGGTTAATATGTCCTGATTTCGAGGTTTATTATTTGTGTTAACAATTATTGAAATTTCACAACGGGAAAAGCACCAAAAAAAATTGAATTTTTTTCGTTAAACATAGTTTTTTAATCTCCATACGACTATACATAAGACATATTAATGTCAGTAATCCAACACTAATTTACCCCTTATTACAGTAGCCACATGTTAAAGAATACTCATTTTGCCTATAATACACTTTACCAGCCCCCTCACGATTTTTTTTAAACTATTTGTTTTCTATGTGATGGTGTAAAATTTTTTTACCGGAAACTACTATTTTAGAAGTTATAGCCGTTTCAAGTTTGTGGTTATAAGTACGTCTTCTTCGAGCGCCGCTCGTCACATACAACAGTCAGTAGCGTGCGTATGAATCACGTCATTTTAAATACTGTAAAATATAATAACAATACTACAAGGATACAATATATTTATATCTCTTGATCATCATCTGCACAGAGTGACTCATTTTCACTTTCTAACTCTTCGACTTCCTCTATCTCAACATGATCAACATTTTAGTCACTGGGATGGTTGGTGGATGAGCTCAAGTTTTGCGGCCGGCCTGTATAGGCAAAGTCAGGTTTTTTTTTAAAAAAACAAGTCATTAAAAAAATAAAAATTGAAAATCGTGAGGGAGTTGGTAAAGTGCATTTGTTCCCAAATTTTTGCTATTATAAGAAAAGTAAATGGGGTGAAAAATATGTGAAGTAATTTATTAAAGTTATAATAATAAATTACAATAATAATTCTTATTTTGGTGGATGTATGTTAAAATTAAAATGATGAACTATATGTTTGCAAACAATTTTGTTGGCACTTATCCCAAACATTTTTTTGGGAATGTCTCATTAGATTACCGATTTAAGTGTATAAAAACTAAAAATATGGTTGAAAGAAAGCCTAAAATAGCTGAGGTAAATAAGTCCATATTAATTTATGTAGAAATAAGAAATACCTAATAATAAAATAATTAATAG